AAAAAAAAAAAAAAAAAACTACAAAGCAACTTATATGAACACAACTTCACTCTATCACATAAACCAAAAAATAAATAAATAAAAGTGTAAAGTAAAATAAAGGACACTGTAAGCCAGAGATCTGAGATTCACAAAGATTCACAAAGCTGGCCTTGCTCACACAAACATTCTCATTTCAGGTCCTTCCACTTGAGGATGAAAGTTGATAATCCCAAATGCAATGCATGTTGGTAACCTTCATTCAAAAGACATGCTGCTTTGCCTATCATATAACGTTATCCATCACCTGATTGGATGATATTGTGTGATCCCACGCTTCGGAGGCAATTTCCTCAAGATGAAGAGAACAAGAGATGAAGGCAAGATCTCCACTAGCTAAACAATAAGGACAAACACAATTATATATCAATCTCTCAAGTTTCAATATCACATCCTCCAAATGTCAGCTTTTTATGAACGTACCAAATAATAAGTAAAATTCAGGATAGGATGATCCAAGACATCAAGATCCGCAGCAGCCTCAAATGCATTAAAGCACATCTGTAAAATATTTCATGGTTTCAGTTATGCCACAAGTCTAGAAAAAGTAGAGGTATCATAGTGTTGCCCTGTAAAGTTTAAAGGCTTAAAATTAGAGATATTGATTCATACTTTTAACAGAAATGTGTCAAAGTGCATATCAAATTATATGGGAGAACAATTACAATTACATCTCTCCATTTTACGATGACGTAAATGGGCAGAGTCTGGTTAAAGGTAACTTGTCCAAGTTCTCACTCCAAATTCAAATTGTGCCCCCTTTATCCAGTATGCGGACAAAGTTCTATTGAACTGGTCAGGATATATAAGTCAAGTAAATTGATAAATAGTACATTCATTTTTTCCAGTAATCCAAACCAAAGTCAGCAAGTCAATAGTGTTTACAATATAACCTTATGATTAACATATAATTTTGCGTATCAGATTCCAACAAGTATTAAACATTCTTTATTCAGTATATCCTCAGAGTAGACAATACATATAATAGAACATACCATAACGCATCTAATGAGGAAACACGAAAAACATATTGTGGTCACGTAGCCAACCTGTTGAAAACAATAGATGGAGAAAGCCAATGATAAAATAGAACCAAACACATGAAGATGAAATGGAGTAATCGGTTTTAAGCATACCTCCTGTAGCTTCTTGCGTCGTCCTTTCGATTCCACCGGGAATCTTTGTAGCATTAAGAAAAGCCTGTTCACAAATCACAATTCACATAAACCTACAGGACATTGTTTCAAGTGTGTAGGGAAATTGAATAATAATTGTGCCGGCTAATAGGGCTTTGCATAAAGCAGTAACAGATCATCCCCTTTGACAAATATAATAACAAAAGATAAGATAGCATGCCACATCAGCTAATAAGTAATTTATGGGTCGCATGAGAAAAAGAAAAGGGTACAGCGTCATCTGATAAGTTATAAAATCAAAAACCATTGTGTAAGGAACTTTTCATAAAAGAAGGCCTACTGCATATTGACAGGGATTTACAATACCGACAGATAAAAAAGAAGTCATATTTTAAGTATGAATTGGTCAATATCAAATGGGAGCAATTTAGTTACCTTCCACCATAGAGAAGAAATCCCAAGGCCGCAAATAAGGATACACCTGCTAGATGGCAAGATTCTTAAGCATACTGGAAGAAATAAAAATGCGAAAGGAAACATCACACTCGGCCCAAAATTTAAAGACGAACCTGCAAAGAACATCTTGGATAAAATCATCAGTATGCGGATGGGTTTCCACCATAAAATTAACCACAGAATTATCTGCAACAAATCACCAAAGAAGAAAATAATAAATAAAATCTTAATCCATATAACATATCAGAACAACCAAATTCATGTCAATTTACTGCAACTACCTATTGTCCATTGCCAATCATATGCAATGTACGCACAATTTCATTTCACATCACGGCATGAACATAAACATACCAATTTGAAATAAATGCAATCAGTTTAGCAAAATAGTAGTTCAAAATCAACTAGGTTAACTTCCTCAGAAATTCAACGAAACCTTTAATATTAGTTCCCTGAAAAAAAAAAAAAAAAAAAAAAACCTTATTTGTTATGAAAATGTACTTTGGCATTTGACAATACTAAAGGCCCTTTCTGAACTCTTCGACTCTAAATAGTTGTAATCTAGGCAAACATATATGTTCAGGCTGCTCAGCATATATAGAGAACCAAAGTTGAATTGATGCCTAGAAAAAACCCATCTATCATCATTAAAAAATTTAACCAATGAGCTTTGTAACAGCCAAAACAGGATGCAGATGAGAAGGAATTAGACTGATCCTAAGCATATGAAAAGATCCTAATCTGAAGAACTTTCTTCCACTGGCTCTATAAACATCAATTATCCACATAAATCCAGAGGTTAATTGTACTCTACCAACTTTATGCAAGGAAAATGTGGTTTTCAGGATCTCTGACAGATATTGGCAACAATTGCAACAAATCAAGCAACTCCACCATTAACATATAAACAACTAACTGGCTCATTTCGAATTTTGCCAGCTAAAAAGAAAAAAAAAAAACCCCAAGGAGTCAATGTAAGAATTACACCAATGTTAAGGTTAAGAGGCTTAGTCAGAAACAGATTAAGAAAGTAAGAAACATTGTCATCATCCTAAACCGAATCATATTTCATATAGATACTTGACTAACCTATAATTCCCATGTTAGCATTAAATCTTAAAATGTGGGAAGGAAATGTGAGGGCGAGGACGTAGAAAAACCCAAGAACCAAAAAAAAAAATAAAAATAAAAATAAAAAAAATAAATAAATAAAAGAATAAAACTGAATGTAACACTGTAAAATGATAAGCTATTACAAAAATATTATCCTTCATTTTAACATGAGTAATCATCTAACTTGTAAACATGCCTACGTTCTGGATATTGAAGCAGGAGATCATACACAACCTACAATTAGTGCAAAAGTCCATGTTTACTCATATAAAAAGAACCAGGATTAAGAAAAGATTCACATATATGAAGACTTGGCAACTATGTTGGTCCACATAACACTACAGTTAGTAATGGTACGTTAGTTGATGCTGCAAGCTATCAGAACTAACACATACTATGGTGTCACCTCAGCCCTGCTCCTACCAACATCTGGAAATATGTTAACCGGCGGGCTATAAGATACATTACTTCCGGTGGAAAATCTAATTACTGAGTTGCTCATTATTGTTTTTATTTCAGATATGGTAGGGTTTATTAGATCATAAAATCTTTCATCGGCAAGATTGTTCACCTGAATGGCATAAACAACACCATTTATAGTGTAAAAGCTAGGCCTCAGCCCATCAGTTGATACAGCCCTAGCCTGCCAAAATCACAAGTAATCAATGAGTTGCCATCAAAAAACATAATAAATAGCAAATAAAAAAACCCCGTAAAAAGAAACTAAACCAACCTGATAATAGATTTCTGCCCAGAACAATACAAGCAAAGCATATGTCGTGAAAAACGCAAGGCTAGGCATATCAAGCAAGATGTGTTGGACAATCTATCCACAAATTCAACATTTATCAGGAAATTATTAGAATAATCATACGAACGCACAAGAGGATATAGGCTGGCAAAAAAAGTATACCTCAGGGTTTAACTTCTGGACATCCCGACGGAATGCGAAAACTATGCAACGAACTAAACAAACGAGAAAAAATACAATAAGTAGCTAAAAGATTCAAAAGAATTGCCTCTTTAATTAACACATCCAATAACCATCATCCAGATACAAAGAGAACATAACACAAACCTCCATTGACCAAGAAATTCAGGAAATGGAATACTTTCTGCGTCGTCCATCCATACTCTGGTACTCTTAGTTGTATTCTAATTAATTGTATCTGCAATGACAAGTAATGAATATTCATTAGTTTCAAAAGGAACTTCCTACCTTGTGTTAGCACATTACAAATGCAAAGCATGTTGAATTAACTTGTGAAAACAGCACCCATCATGCCTTATAACAGGTAAAGAACGAGAATTAAGTAGTTGATACAAAATAAGAGAATACAATCAACGAACAGGCTTGGAACACAAATCTGGATAGAAGAGCCATCAATTCATCCCGTTCCCAATGTTATCAATTTGAAGATTATTAGACCAACAGGCAGGCAACAGCTAGAGGAATAATAAAAATTAGTGAGGGAAAAATCAAACTCAAATCATGAAAGAAAAATTACAAAAGCAACAGCGGCAACGATCCCATAGAGGGCGGCGAGCAGATGGAATATACGATCCTGCCATAAGGGCGACTCATTGACGGCGTCCCACCAGGTCGTCGCGTCATTAAGGCGAAGCGCCGCCAGGGATGAAGGGCCCACCACCTCCGATTCCATATCATCAATCAGGCAGTGGAAAAATAGATTTACGACTGCGGCCGAGAAAATCTCCCGATGAAATTACTGACTGATTGGGGGAAAAGGAAAAGGAAAGGGAAATCAATCTTTGGTTCAAACCGTTGAATGAAAAGGTGCGGTGGGAGGATGAGGTTATAGGAAACGCCAACACGTGGGATGGATGATGAGTTGGTCTGTCTGTCTGATCTGGTGAAAGCGGTGAGAGTAGGCCGTAGGGGAGGAATAAAAGGAAACCATCCAAATTCCCCAAAACTACATCGGGATAGGATCAAATTAAAATTTACAGCCTAATCCCAAAGTATAACACATGCCACGTGTGTCTATTGTTGTAAATTGAAGTTTTCGCATTCATCAATCCAAGCATAAAAGAGCTGCACTAAAAGAACGAGAAAAGAGAGAAGCAGAAAAGTCTATATATTATTCATCGGTATTCACTCTTTTTATAGAGTTTACAAGTCTATATATTATTCATGGTATTCACTCTTTTTATAGAGTTTTAAGGGAGAAACCCTAAAACCTAATCCTACTAACTAATGGACTTCAGACCCAATTATATATTAGTAATGCCCATATTAATATATTTATAACACTCCCCCTTGGACATTACTACATGCCTCATTAAAACCTTGCAATTAAAAACCCAACAGGGAAAAAAAATTAGGCAAGGGAAAAAGAGTACATGATTTATAAAAATTCATATGTTTTACTAGCTGCCTCGTTAAAAACCTTTACCTCATAAACCATTGGAAAAAACTTAGTTAAAAGAAAAAAGAGTACAACATTTGGTCTTCAGGACCTAATCTTCAGGATTATTTTGAGTTTTTTCCTCGCCTGAAGACAATAGTCTTCCCAGTTTACGCATAGCAATACCATAAATGCATTTTTCAAAAATAGATGTAGGAAGAGATTTGGTGAATAACTCTCTCAAGTTCTCGCTAGACCTTACATTTTGTACAATAATCTCACCGCTCTTCTGGAGCTCGTGTGGGTAAAAGAATTTTGGAGCAATGTGTTTTGTCATGCTTCCTTTGACATACCCACTACTCATTTGTAAAACACAAGCTGCATTGTCCTCATAAAGGAAAGTGGGGGTTATATCATTTGTCATTCCACATGATCCACGTATATGTTGGGTTAAAGATCTTAACCATACACATCTGCGTAAAGTCTCGTATAAAGCAATTATTTTTGAATGGTTTGAAGATGTAGTAACCATGGACTGCTTGACCGACTTCCAAGAGATTGCAGTACCACCACAAAGAAAAACATAACCAGTCTGTGATCTAGCATTATGGGGATCAGTGTAACACCCCACTTTGATTTTAAAGAAATTTCGGACTTTCCAAAATCAATAAATAATTTTTCGAACTCGTTTTCGAAAATATGGGTGTCATTCACATATTTAACATCAACCAAGTCATATCTGGTTGTTCACATGGTTTTCATTAACCCTTAAAACTTCAATTTCACATGATTATTAGCTAAACATCATAGCATGCATAATTGAACACATGATATTCAAGAAATAATTCCAATACGAATATCCAAACGTAACATTGGTCCAATAATTAAAAAAAAAAAAGTTTTGAAAACGATTCCACGTCTTAACCAAAAGAGGTTCACAAGGACCACACATTATTCAATAACGGAAGCATAATCATAAAGCATAAATCAAAGACCGACCCACTCGTCTTCCCCCGTCATCCGGCACCTGCTTAACCTGCATCCGTGAAGAGCAGGTGGGAGTGAGCAAAAAATGAGCGTAGTGCTCACTACTATGCACATAAATGGTGACATGTCAAAATAGTATGGTCGCAGCATGAAAATAAAATAATCATATCATATCTCGTCTCCTATCAAGATCACAACAACCACATTACTCCTGTGCACATCTATCGCTAGCTGCAGAACGGGGATTCATTACCCGAAGGCGGGAGTACATGCCACGCTACGGACACGGCCTTCCATATGGGCTTACGTACCTCACAAGGGCACGGCCATATCAGGACTTAAGGAGACTTGCCTCACAAGGGCAACCGTATTACATCGACGGGGATAACCGTACCGACGGCCCTAACAGCTCACATCGATAGGTTACATATTTCATGTTCATGCATAAATCATATTCACAAAAATAAACACTTATCATTCATGGCATAGACGATTTAAATAAGATCCACCTGGTATCCGGAGGATGAAATCACAGAAATTCGAGGAAAAAGGTAGGCCGAGACATAGCTCGTCACACACGTACATTACACAAAATAGTCCTATGAAAGCCTATCCAACACACAATAACTTAACTACACTCATGTGATATAAATTAGCCACATACTTCAAAAATGACACATAACATAATTGTAGAAAAAAAATGGGAATGAACAAATCGCATGGTCTCAATATTTCCAAGGTAACATGAGCTACAAGTTTGCTATTCAAGTGATTCCAAAACTAACAAGAAGCTAAGACATATATACACAACTTTAATGTTGATCATATTTTCACATAGTCAAATTAAGATTGTCAAAAACAACCCAACATCATGATTCTCAATTCTGCCCGGAAATTTCAAAAACTGCTTGCAGTTTCAACTTTAAAAATTTATAATAAATTCAATTCAACTCCGAATCACGAAATTCTAAAACTTATAGAGACCTAACTCAAATATTTACAACTTTGATGAAGATCACATTGGCAAATGGTAACATTATCAATGAGTTTAAACATAAAACATTTAATTCATAAAATCTGCCAAAGTACAAAATTTTTATATAAACAGCACCTCAGTATTTGTCCTCTAAATTATGCTACAGACTTCTAAATTACATAATTCTTGTATGCTTAGAAAGCTACGAGATAGCCCTACAACTTTCATTTAGAACACAAAAGCAGATAAGGTCTTTATAAAGGCGTAAAATCTACTAACATTTAAAATAACTTTTCTGCCAATGTATAAAACCCTACTTCATGTATATCTACAATCATATGGACACAATCGAGCTATAGATATAACCTCAGCATGAATCCTATCTCACTAGAAAGCTAATTAACAGAACTATAATTTTCATGAAGACTACAAATTAAGTTGAGCACATTAAGACACCATAAATAGGTCAAACATTTAATGGTACATGCTGCCGGGTTTTAATAAAAACTGCTTGCGCGACAATTTTATAAAAATCATAACTCACTCGATATAACTCGGATTATCAAAATTCTTAAAGCCTACTGAAAGCTTACAGGATAAACTACAATTCATATGAAGAACATATTTTCAGAAAATAATTTCTTGAAGTCATAACAGAGGAACCTTACCTCCTTCAAGAAAACGAAAATGTGGAGAAATGAAAGAGGTGTTGCTCGGTTCTTTTACTTCTCTCCCTATCTTGCTTGAAGTCCGATTTTCTCTCTATTTTCTCAAGTTATTCAGGTTTTTAATGGTCTAATACAGCTAAAGAATAAAACACAAGAACATGATAAGAGGGGACATAAGATCTAGATCCCATCTAAACTTAAAACTAATATTTTACCAACACATGATGCCAAAAGAGAGTAACATGGTTCTCTAACTCATGCATGAGTATGGATTTGCTTTTGGTACTTAAAATGTCTGAACAAAATTTATTAACTTTGGTTTTGATGTCTACTAAAAGGATTGAGAAGAAAATAAATTTTACGGAACCGGAATCGGACTTAAAATCCAACAATAATTGAAAACCGAAGAATTTGACTACAATCAATTTTTCTTCTTCTAATTCGGTTTTTATAGATAAAAATACTATTAAAGAGATGGTAATGTAATAGTCTTAAGGTCTTGTTAATTTGTTTTGATGTTCGGGTCGCAACGGTTCTAAAACGAATTCAAACGAACAACAATTCGGCTTACGCGATTAAATCGAAAATTCAAATGACGATTGATAAAATAAAATCGACCGAGCTATATATAAAATTATAGTATCCGTACAATAATAAAAATATATAATCACATAATCAAGGTATATATAAATATTAAAATAAAATACCATTAATTAAAATAAACTCATAAAAATCTAATATTCGAACGGGACGCTACAATCTACCCACCTTAAAAGGAATTCCGCCCTCGAAATTCGAAAATAAAGCAACTAGAGGGCACTAAAAATATACCATGGGGAACTCAAAACATAAAGTTCGGATAACGCCTCCTAATATCGTCCTCCTTCTCCCAAGTCGCCTCAGATTCGTCGTGTCGACTCCACCGCACCTTCACTAAACTCACTGCCCGGTTCCTCAGCTGATGGACCTTCCGGTCCAAAATGGCTGCTGGTACCTCCTCATAGGTAAGGTCTCGCTCGACCTGCAGCTCGCCGGAGTCCACCACATGATCAGGATTATGCACATACCTCCGAAGCATTGAGACATGGAACACATCGTGCACACCCGACAAGTCTGGTGGTAAAGCCAGCCGATACGCCAAGTTCCCGACTCGATCGAGGATCTCAAATGGCCCGATATAGCGAGGTCTAAGTTTCCCCTTCTTCCCGAAGCGAATCACATCTCTCATGGGTGAAACCTTCAAGAAGACATGATCTCCCACTGCATAAACATGCTCTTGCCTCTTCCGGTCGGTATAGACCTTCTGCCTCTCCTGGGCAGACCTGATGGTCTTCTGAATCTCTTCAATTGTCGCTGCAGTATTCTGGACAAACTCCGGACCCATAATCCTCCTCTCTCCAACCTCATCCCAATACAAAGGAGTCCGGACCTTACGTCCGTACAAAGCCTCGTACGGGGCCATCTTGATCGAAGAGTGGTAACTATTGTTGTAGGTCAGCTCGACTAGCGGAAGGGCATACTCCCAAGTCAGGCTTCGGTCCAAGACCACAACCCTCAAGATATCCTCCAAGTACTGGATCGTACGCTCTGACTGACCATCTGTCTCGGGGTGAAAGGTTGTACTGAACTCCAACCTCGTCCCCATGGCTCGGTGCAACGTCCTCCAGAACTGGCATGTGAACTTAGGATCTCGATCAGAAACAATCTCCACGGGTACCCCATGAAGCTTAAAAATGTCCTTGACGAACAATTCGGCGTAATCACTCGCCTTCATGGTCGTCCGGACTGGCAGAAAATGGGCAGACTTCGTAAGGCGATCCACTATCACCCAAATCAAATCGTGCCCAACCCTCGACCTCGGCATTCCTATCAAGAAATCCATGGTGATGCACTCCCACTTCCACAGGGGAACCTCAAGGGGCTGCAACAACCCTCTCAGTTTCTGGTGCCCAGCCTTCACTTGCTGACACACCAGACACCCATCCACGAACTTCGCTACCTGCCTCTTCATGCTGCGCCACCAGAAAGACTTCCTCAAGTCCTGATACATCTTCGTGCTACCAGGATGGATGGTGTACGGAGCACTATGGGCCTCTCTCAGAATCTCTCTTCGCAGTTCCCACACCTTCGAAACACAAAGTCTACCCTCGAAGACCATGGCCCCATCAGATGCGACTGCGAATCCACCAACTCTACCGGCTGCTGACAACTCCCTCATCCCGCATAAGAAACAGTCATTCAGTTGCTCGGCGACTATCCTCTCTCGAAGAGTCGGTCCCACAACCAAAGTGGCCAACACGTGTCCGGTTGTCGAAGTCGACTCCACTGCCTCTAGCTGTAATCGCTCGTACTCCCGAAGAAGAACATCATGCTCGGTGAATAGGCAAGACAACTGGCCATAATTCCTCCGACTAAGGGCATCGGCTACCAAGTTAGCTTTCCCAGGGTGATAGCTAATGGTGCAATCGTAGTCCTTGACCAACTCCAACCACCTACGCTGCCTCATGTTCAGCTCCTTCTGAGTGAAAATGTACTTTAAGCTCTTGTGGTCGGTAAAGATCTCACACTTGCCTCCATAGAGGTAGTGCCGCAAAATCTTCAAGGCGTGGACAACTGCAGCTAACTCGAGATCATGAGTGGGGTAGTTCTGCTCGTGAGGCTTCAGCTGCCTCGAAGCATAGTCTACGACTTTCCCTTGCTGCATAAGGACACATCCCAAACCCAGCTTCGAAGCATCACTATAGATGGTGAACTCCAAAGTAAGGTCGGGTATAGATAGGACAGGCGCGGTAGTGAGTCTCCTCTTCAACTCCTGGAAACTCTCCTCGCACTGAGGACTCCAATCAAACCTCACGGCTTTCTTCGTAAGGTTGTTCAGTGGCTGGGCTATCTTCGAGAAGCCCTCGATAAACCTCCTATAGTATCCTGCTAACCCCAGGAAACTACGAACATCTGCAACACTTCTTGGCGTATCCCACTTGCACACCGCCTCAATCTTGCTGGGATCCACCTCAATGCCTCGAGCTGTCACAATGTGGCCAAGGAATGCCACACGGTTCAGCCAGAACTCGCACTTCGAGAACTTAGCATACAACTTCTCGCGGCGAAGAGTCTCCAGCACAATCCTCAAATGCTCCTTGTGCTGATCGATGTCTGGGGAATATACCAGAATGTCGTCGATGAACACAATGACGAACTGGTCCAGGAAAGGATGAAAGACCCTATTCATAAGGTCCATGAAAACGGCTGGGGCGTTGTTGAGTCCGAACGGCATGACTACGAACTCATAGTGGCCATATCGGGTACGGAAAGCAGTCTTGGAAATATTCGACTCCCGGATCTTCAGCTGATGATAGCCATAACGCAAGTCAATCTTTGAGAAGATGCTGGCTCCTCTCAGCTGGTCGAAAAGGTCCTCAATACGGGGAAGGGGGTACTTGTTCTTGATTGTAAGGGCATTCAACTCCCGATAGTCAATGCACATGCGCATCGATCCGTCTTTCTTCTTCACGAATAGGACAGGCGCACCCCACGGCGAGACACTCGAACGAATAAAACCGAGCTTAAGCAACTCCTGGATCTGGGCCTTGAGCTCTTGAAGCTCCTTCGGCGCCATACGGTAAGGGGCCTTAGAAACGGGGTCGGCTCCTGGAATTAGGTTAATGGTGAACTCCACCTGGCGGTCGGGCTGTCCTCCGAGCAAATCATCAGGAAAGACGTCGAGGTACTCGCAAACAGTGGATACTTTCTCGGGCACCCGCTCATCAACAACGTCGGATACCAAGGAAACAAGATAGCCCTGGCAGCTACCCTTTAAAAGGCTCTTCCTAGCTTGCATAGAAGAGATGACTCGAGGCACAGTCCTCGAATTCACCCCATAGAACACAACAGGCTGATTGGAAACGGGATAGAGGGTGACTTCGTGCTCCTGACACCGGATATCAGTTCGGTAATGGGTGAGTCAGTCCATGCCCAAGATCACGTCAAAGTCTCGCATTTCAATTACATACACGTCGGCCTCCAGAACTCGACCACCAATACAAATAGGAAGATTGCGAACCACTGAGTCAGAGATAATAATTTTTCCCGAGGCTAGACTAACCTCGAGAGGATCACAAGAATTCACAGTGCTAATAGATAAGGCCTCCAAGCAACGAGAAGAAATAAAGGAATGGGTAGCACCAGTATCACATAATGCAAAGACAGGCACGTTGGAGATAGAAAGCATTCCAGACATAGTACCTGTGTTGCGGGCGGCCTCATCATGGGTAATGGTATAGACACGGGCCTGACCCCCAGTCTTCTGCTGGAACGGTGGGGGCTGCTGCTGCTGCTAATGTGGTGGCGGTGGGGGAAGCTGCTACTGCTGGGGGAACTGCTGCTGCCTCCTGGGCTCAGGACAGACACTGGCATAGTGACCCGATCGGTTGCAGTTGAAACAGGTTCGCTGGTTGGCTAAGCACTCGCCACTATGGTACTTGCCACATTTCTTGCAGGTTCGGTTGCCAGAAGAGGGATGATTGCGCCGGTCTGGACCTCCTCGCTTTCCCTTCCGGTTATCCCGGTGGGAATCTGCCTTCCTCTTGCCCGAACTAGAGCCAGGCGGCACTGATGAGATGGGCTGAGCGTGCTGAACAACGGTCTGGGAAGGCCGGGAGGCATGATAATATGAAGGGACCGGAGCTATCGGGATGAGACAGCTCTCCACCTCCTGAGCCCGACTCACAGTGTCGGTGAAAGACATCAGTCCGTGACTCCCCACTAGTTCACGGATCCTCTTATTGAGCCCTTTGAGAAACTTGTGGGCCTTCTTTGCATCGGTATTCACCGAGTCACCCGCAAAAAGGCACATTCGGGTGAAAGTGCGAATATACTCGTCCACTCTGGAGCTGCCCTGCTGCAAATGGTAGAACTCATGCTCCATCATGTCCCAAAAGCTTTGGGGAAGGAACTTGCCACGCACCATCATCTTCATTTGCTCCCAAGTGAGTGCATGAAGCTCCGCCTCTGGCCTCCGAGCCCAGTGGTCAATCCACCAGTCGGAAGCATCCTCCTTCATCTGATAAGCCGCGAGGGATACTCGCTGACGGTCAGGGAGGGGAAGCACAGCGAAGATCTTATCCAGTTCTTTGATCCACTCCAGCACCGCTGTGGGGTTCTCAGTCCCCGCGAAAGTTGGTGCATTCATCCTCTGAAACTGGACTATGAGCTGAGTGAGGTCCATGGCCGGAGGGGCCTGGTGATAACGACGAGCCGAAGAAGGAGATGGGGATGGCTGACGGTTACGGTTGTTGCGGGTATTCATGATTCTACATTGAATAAGCCGAACAAGGTTTAGCACAAAACAAACAAAGTAATCTTAATTACAGAAGTCTAGAGTTCGCCTTTAAACACTAGAGTTCGATAAATTCAAGGTGGATAGATCCTAAGCCCCAAATTACAAGTTCAACACAAGTAGTTTCATTGCTATATGTGCATCATTTACATATCAAGTATTTTCATTAATACTTAAACAAAACATACCTTAAGCAGCGTGGAGTGACGGAGACGAGTGGTCATATTTCAAGGTCTAACACATAATCACATATAAACCAGTCTACAGAAATGCAGACTGGCTCTGATACCAAACTGTAACACCCCACTTTGATTTTAGAGAAATTCCGGACTTTCCAAAATCAATAAATAATTTTTTCGAACTCGTTTTCGAAAACATGGGCGTCATTCACACATTTAACATCAACCAAGTCATATCTAGTTGTTCACATGGTTTTCATTAACCCTTAAAACTTCAATTTCACATGATTATTAGCTAAACATCATAGCATGCATAATCGAACACATGATATTCAAGAAATAATTCCAATACAAATATCCAAACGTAACATTGGTCCAATAATTAAAAAAAAAAAGTTTTGAAAACGATTCGCCACGTCTCAACCAAAAGAGGTTCACAAGGACCACACATTATTCAATAACAGAAGCATAATCATAAAGCATAAATCAAAGACCGACCCACTCGTCTTCCCCCGTCATCCGGCACCAGCTTAACCTGCATCCATGAAGAGCAGGTGGGAGTGAGCACAAAATGAATGTAGTGCTCACTACTATGCACATAAATGGTGACATGTCAAAATAGTATGGTCGCAACATGAAAATAAAATAATCATATCATATCTCGTCTCCTATCAAGATCACAACAACCACATTACTCCTGTGCACATCTATCGCTAGCCGCAGAACGGGGATTCATTACCCGAAGGCGGGAGTACATGCCACGCTACGGACACGGCCTTCTATATGGGCTTACGTAACTCACAAGGGCACGGCCATATCAGGACTTAAGGAGACTTGCCTCACAAGGGCAACCGTATTACATCGACGGGGATAACCGTACCGACGGCCGTAACAGCTCACATCGATAGGTTACATATTTCATGTTCATGCATAGATCATATTCACAAAAATAAACACTTATCATTCATGGCATAGACGATTTAAATAAGACCCACCTGGTATCCGGAGGATGAAATCACAGAAATTCGAGGAAAAAGGTAGGCCGAGACACAGCTCGTCACACACCTACATTATACAAAATAGTCCTATGAAAGCCTATCCAACACACAATCACTTAACTACACTCATGTGATATAAATTAGCCACATACTTAAAAAATGACACATAACATAATTGTAGAAAAAAAAATGGGAATGAACAACTCGCATGGTCTCAATATTTCCAAGGTAACATGAGTTACAAGTTTCCTATTCAAGTGATTCCAAAACTAACAAGAAGCTAACATATATATACACAACTTTCATGTTGATCATATTTTCACATAGTCAAATTAAGATTGTCAAAAACAGCCCAACATCATGATTCTCAATTCTGCCCGGAAATTTTAAAAATTGCTTGCAGTTTCAACTTCAAAAATTAATAATAAATACAATTCAACTCCAAATCACAAAATTCCAAAACCTATAGAGACTTAACTCAAATATCTACAACTTTAATGAAGATTACATTGGCAAATGGTAACATTATCAATGAGTTTAAACACAAAACATTTAATTCATAAAATCTGCCAAAGTACAAAATATTTATATAAACAGCACCTTAGTATTTATCCTCTAAATCAGGCTACAGACCTCTAAATTGCATGATTCTTGTACGCCTAGAAAGCTAAGAGATAGCCCTACAACTTTTATTTAGAACACAAAAGTAGATAAGGTCTTTAAGAAGGCGTACAATCTACTAACATTTAAAAAAACTTTTCTGCCAATGTATAAAACCCTACTTCATGTATATCTACAATCATATGAACACAACTCGAGCTATAGATATAACCTCAGCATGAATCCTATCTCACTAGAAAGCTAATTAACAGAACTATAACTTTTATGAAGACTACAAATTAAGTTGAGCACATTAAGACACCATAAATAGGTCAAACATTTAATGGTACATGCTGCCGGGTTTTAATAAAAACTGCTTGCGCGAAAATTTTATAAAAATCATAACTCACTCGATATAACTCGGATTATCAAAATTCTAAAGCCTACCGAAAGCTAACAGGATAAACTACAATTCATATGAAGAACATATATTCAGAAAATAATTTCTTGAAGTCATAACAGAGGAACCTTACCTCCTTCAAGAAAACGAAAATGTGGAGAAATGAAAGAGGTGTTGCTCGGTTCTTCTACTTCTCTCCCTATCTTGCTTGAAATCCGATTTTATCTCTATTTGCTCAAGTTATTTAGGTTTTCAATGGTCTAATACAGCTTAGAAATGAAACACAAGAACATGATAAGAGGAGACATAAGATCTAGATCCCATCTAAACCTAAAACTAATATTTTACCAACACATGATGCCAAAAGAGAGTAACATGGTTCTCTAACTCATGCATGAGTATAGATTCGGTTTTGGTACTTAAAATGGCTGAACAAAATTTATTAACTTTGGTTTTGATGCCTTCTAAAAGGATTGAGAAGAAAATAAACTTTACGGAACCGGAATCGGACTTAAAATCCGACAATAATTGAAAACCGAAGAATTTGACTACAATCAATTTTTTTTCTTCTAATTCGGTTTTTATGGATAAAAATACTATTGAAGAGATGGTAATGTAATAGTCTTAAGGTATTGTTGATTCGTTTTGATGTTCGGGTCACAACGGTTCTAAAACGAATTCAAACGAACAACAATTCGGCTTACGCGATTAAACCGAAAATTCAAACGACGATTGATAAAATAAAATCGACCGAGCTATATATAAAATTATAGTATCCGTACAATAATAAAATATATAATCACATAATCAAGGTATATATAATATTAAAATAAAATACCATTAATTAAAATAAACTCATAAAAATCTAATATTCGAACGGGGCGCTACAATCAGACATATAACCAGCATCCGAATAGCCCACCAATGTCATATCTTGATTTTTCTTATAAAGTAAACCAAGATCTTATGAACCTTGAAGATACCTAAAAATATGTTTAATACCATTCCAGTGTCTCCTCGTAGGAGAAGCACTAAACCTTGCTAGCAAGTTTACTGCAAATGCAATATCAGGCCTGGTGCAATTTCCAAGATAAAGTAACGCGCCAATGGCGCTCAAATAAGGAACTTCTGGTCCTAAAGTTTCTTCGGTATCTTCTTTAGGTCTAAATGGATCCTTATCCGCTTCAAGGGATCGAACAATCATTGGTGTGCTAAGTGGATGAGATTTATCCATGCAGAATTTTTCTAAAACCTTCTTCAAGTAGGTTGACTGGTGTACAAATATTCCTTCAAGGAGATGCTCGATCTGCAGGCCGAGACAATATTTGGTTTTACCCAAATCTTTCATTTCAAACTCCGTTTTTAGGCATGAGCTAGCTTTATCAAGCTCCTCTCGTGTGCCAATTATATTTATGTCATCGACATAAACTGAAATGATGCAAAAGCCATTCATTGACCTCTTTATAAACACACAGGGGCACACATTGTTATTCACATAATTATTTTTCAACAAAAACTCAATCAGCCGGTTGTACCACATTCTACCCGACTGCTTTAAGCCATATAATGAGTTTTGTAATTTAATGTTATACATGTTGCGCGTTTCATTTTCCCTTATTTCGGGAACCTTTAATCCTTCAGGGATTTTTATATATATATTTGTGTCTAATGACCCAAATAAATATACGGTCACGACATCCATTAACTGCATATCTAAATTCATAGTTACTGCCAGAGATATCAAATAGTGGAACGTTATTCCATCCATTACAAGAGAATATGTTTGATCAAAATCAATTCCGGGTCTCTGCGAAAACCCTTGAGCAACTAATCTCGCTTTGTATCTCACCACATCATTATTTTCATTTCTCTTTCGCACGAACACCCATTTATATCCTACTGGGATAACATTTTGAGGTGTATGCGCAATAGAGCCAAAAACTTTTCGTTTATTTAGCGAGTCTAGTTCAGCCTCAATTGCCTCTTTCCATCTTACCCAATCAGAGCGCTTCCGGCACTCTACAATTGATTTTGGTTCTGGATCCAGGTTATTGGAGATGGTAAAAGCAACTATAGAGGCAAATGTGTCGTCGACGACTATGTTACTTCTATTATAAGTTTCTCCTGTATCAACCAAATTCATAGCTACTTCAATATTTACATCAACCAGATCTTCATCATTTCCCAATATATTTTGATCTGGATGTTCCACAATCCTAGTATTTTTATTATTTGTTGCACGTGCATTTAAACTAGGATTTTCGTCTTCTAGACGATTCTCTTCTGGAGATTTTGGGAGTGATTCAATATTCTTATTAGATTTCGTTTTCCGCGGATTATTGTCTTTTGTACCAACGGGTCTACCACGCTTCTGGCGTGGAGCATCTGCAGGATTATTAGATTTTATGGGGACTTCCACTCGTTGTGGAGCATTTATTGAAGGTACATGAGATTTGGTCACTCCTTTATGATCAGTAAATGCATCTGGCAGATTATTTGCTAAATATTGCAAATTAATTATCTTTTGAACTTCAAGTTCAGTTTGATTAGTGCGTGGATCTAAATATTGTAGATTTTCTACATTCCAAAAATTTCTCGGCATTTATTTAAGTTTGGGATTTTATCTCCCCCTAATGCCGGAAAATTCTCTTCATCAAATATGCAGTCAGCGTACCTAGCTGTAAATTGATCCCCAGTCATGGGCTCTAGGTATTTGAGAATAGACGGAGATTCATAGCCAATATATATACCTAGCTTTCTATGAGGGCCCATAGAGGTACGCTATGGTGGTGAGATG